GATCTGAAGCAGTTTAATTTCGAACATGTATACCAGCTAAATACAGCCTTGTGTGTAGACAGATACATCATTGTTAAAGTGAAGAGATAAAAATCTATTAGTGAAATTAAGGAAGACAAATCCCTACCGGTCTTCACCATGTTCAGTCTCAGAGTTCTCACCACTCGCCTTTATATGATGGATGAAGATGATAATGGAAGAATTAGGAACTTGATGAAAGGGTAACTTTTTTCGATTGGAAAATTGAATTTGCTCATTGGAAGTGTAGCACAGACATGAATTACTCATAGTAACAAATATAACATGATAAACAGTAGCTATACAGAGAATATCAAGCACACTTTCTCTTCAATTTTCTCTCCTCCTCGTGAAACTGAACATGATATCTACTGTGTCTTGTCAAAACCAATGGTGCTTCACTTTGGCCAGATCAGAAAGACTAATATTTATAGATAATTTTGAATGAACTGTAATACTACTTGATAATTATACCCTGAAAACACTGACTTTATATTATATTGGAAAACCAGGCTGTCCAAAAGAGATGCCACAAGTAAATAACCCAGAAACCCAGGATTCACCTTCCCATACCCAAAAGCCCTGAGAGGCAAGAACAAATCCCTCTGATGTTTTTGAACTCAGTTATAGACATTATACACAAACAGCACTTATAATACCCAAGTTTACTATATGACAAAAGATCACCACTCAGAGTGGAAGAAAAGATCTCCATAAGCATGCTGCTGCAAATGTGTTTCTGCACCTCCTATAAACAAATTTCAGATGGATAGCAGAGTTACATACAAAAATCAAGCTTTACGATGCCTGTAGTAAAACATAAAAATTATAGATAAAAAATCTGCAATGGAAAAAATTATGGCAGACGTTTTAAAAGTCATGCAAGGATTTTCAAAGTGGAAGATTTATACCTTTAATGATGTAAAACTAGTGAAGTTTCATATACCCTGAGAGTGCAAAATCAAAATCCAAAAGACAAATACAAATGGGAAAAGACACAGTAAATATAACTGACAAAGAATCGATATTTCCTGAGTATGTGCAGATCAGTAAGAGAAACAAGTTACAAGTGGCACAAACACCAGGCCAACGCAGTTAACAATCGTGGGAACATGGCAAAGCCCACTTATCACAAATAAAAATTTGAAGAAGAATTTTTTTAAATATTTTATTTATTATTTTTATTTTATGTGTATGAGTGCATTGCCTGCATGGATGTGAGTGCACCTGTGTCGTGCAATGCCACAGAGGTCAGAAGAGGGCTTCAGATTCCCCTGAAACTGGAGTTAAGGACAGTTCGTAGCCACCATGTGGGTGCTGGGAATCGAACTTGGGTCCTCTGCAAGAGCAGTCAGTGCTCTTAACTGCTGAGCCATCTCTCCAGCCCCTGAATAAGAATTTTTACCTACCCAATTAGCAGTAATTTTTTTAAAAATATTTAATTCTTCTTCACCCCTACCAGAATTAATACAAAAGAGACACAGGAAGTGAGACGTGCTGATCATAAGGAAGAACACTTGAAGATTCCCTCTAGCACGGGAGCAAGGTCTAGAGGACTGGCTATATCCTCCTTCCCTAAAGAAGCATTGCTGTCAGAGGTCCCAGTTCGTTCCCGTCTTTGGGCCCAGATCAGATACTCCCCGGAATGATTCTGGACCTTGCCTTTCAGACCCATCCTCATCAAGCTTTTTGTGTGTTCTAAACTTGACTCCTTTCCCACTTGTGTGATCGGTATATGTTCTTTTGGTCTAGCAGAATGCCCAGTCCTACCTTCCCCTGCCCAGTCTGACATACACATTGTAGCAGGATGTTATCTATACTATAGAGGTGACAAATATAGCCAACCTTCTTGTATGCTTTTCCTGGTCCAGGCGTCATATAAACTCATGGGCGTGCTTACAATCCCTGAGATGAAGTAGTGAAGCAGTGGTTCTCTTTCTGTTTTACTTGTGGGGGAGACATGAAACGCTTCCCAGCCTCACAACTGCTGATTGTGGTCTGTGGCATTTTGACTCCAAAGTGTCCGCTCTGCCTCCTTGCACACCCAGGGCTTTGATTACATTCAGTACATGGGAAAGTTGTGATTTTACTTACATAATAAATCCCTGTTATAATAAACAATGTAAATACAAAGTCTTATTGCATTTACAGCATTGGCTACAACAATCAAATATTTCCTTGGAAACAAATCAATACTAAAGTAAGCAGAGCCTTATATTATTTTTTATAAACCATTATTTTCTATGGCCTTTCTAGGAATAAGAATTGACAGGTTAAAGCAAAATCAAACAAACAAAATGTCAACTTGTCCCATAATACTAAAAGGCCACTGGCAAACAGGAGAGCACAGTCAAATGAAAGACCAGATATGTGGTTTCCATCATAGAAGGACAAAAGGGTAGACAGCCAAGAAAAATAAAGTGACACTCTACCAGCAAGGGATCTGGTGTATGAACCATGCTCTTCTCCAAGGAAGCTCCTATTGATAGAGGATGGAGACCATCACATCAGCAGTGGCCACCAGACGCAGCTTAGAACTACAGTGACCAGAGCCAGAGCAGGGCACCTTCCCCAAACCAGCAGGTGGCCAAATATATGAGACTATTGTTACCTCCTGTATCCAAAGAATCCCACTCCAACCTTGGGTGGCTGACGTGCACAGAGAAAGCAGGAGGACAGAAAGCTGAGAAGCAGCGTGCTCCCCTGTTCCCTCCCTTCCCTCTTCTTCCTGTGAAGGCTCTTCCTCTCTGCTGTCCTTTCCCTCTGTGCCCCTTCCTTGCCTCTTGTTGAGGGAAGAACTTTTAATTGAATATGAGATCAGGATGTACGTGGTTGCTGAGGATTAAGGAGAAGAGAGGGCGCACAGACGGTTTGGGGGACGGTGAAATACCGTATATGATACTCTTGGTAGATAAGTATCTCTTTATGTTTGTCTAAATTCAAAAAATGTACAACACCAAGACTGAGCCTTGGTGTAAACTATGGATTTTAGGTACTGATGTGTCAACATACGCTCATCAGTTCTAACAAATGCTGTTGCTCCATTGGAAGATGTTGTAGTGGGGAAAGTTACGCACATGTGGGATTGTGGGGCATATGGGAAATCTCTTGCTCTCAATTTTGCTGTAAATCTGTAACTGCTTTAAAACTTAATAAAGTACAAGGAATTTCTAAAATGAATAAATAAAGAGATATCTTGTGTGCAAAATTAATCAAAACTATAGTTCTGGCTGGTTAGTTTCAATAAAATGCCATCAAAATTAAAAGGAATGAGCTACTGATATACTCAACGGTAAGGCTTGATCTCCAAATAATTATAGTGAGTGAAAAAAGCCAGAATTTAAATAGTACATGTTGTGTGATTCAATCTCTATGAAACTGTAGAAAATGCAGACTCGTCTCTAGTGATAGGAGGCAGCTCAGGGGTCTGGGAACTGGGAGAAGAAAGAGCTGGACTAAGGAGGGCACTGGGAGCTGGGAGTGATCGTTATTGTATTGTAATGGTGACTTCCTGGGCATATACTTATGTCAAAACTCTTCAAGCATACTCTTCAAACATCTTCAGCTTTTTTAGATCAATCGTACTTCAATTAAAACTTAAAAATTAAAAAAGTTGTAAAAGGGAGAAAAAGAAGATTCCGCAAAAAGAGGGTGGAAAGAAGTGATATGGGAAAGTAAAGTTCTTAAACTATCCCACCTGAGTTATCAATAGATAGGTCACATTACAACATAGTACAGTTCAAGAACTCTTTCCAGAACCTTCCTCAAAGTGACCCATTTTAAAGGACAATGTGCAAGGATGATGGGTGAACTCCGGTTTTCTAATTTTACCTGAAAAAGATATAAACATCTAATACAATTTCCCTTCTATTGTTTAAAGCAATAGCCAGGAATCAGAGTACAAGTTTAAAAATAAAATTGAATCAAAGAAAGAAGTTGTATTTTTGCTTGGTGGGTGAACCTGAGTTGAGACCCATCATTGTGAGTCATCTTAAACCTACAGGGAGCTGTGACCCTGAGTTTCCAGGAGAGGCAGCCATACTGCTCTGTGGTGCAGATGAGTCATGAGTAAACCTGGCCAGCCATGCCTGACATCCTCCCTCCTCCTGTGAAGCTGGCTCTTTCCTTTCTGCTCAGTTTTATTCTTTCTTTGTCTTTTTTTCTCGCTGATATTTCTTTCCAGAACCCATCCTTATTTTAATTAGTATAACAAGAATATCCTATCTGCTGCCCTATGAAAAGCACAAAAAGACTTTAAAAAAATCATTCTCACTACAAAGTGATTCGACTCTGTTTCTTACTTACAAAAGTAAAATGGATTTGTTTCCCTCTACCAGAAAGCAGTCCAGATTCTCAACAGTCTCCCATCTCAGTTTGATACCATGATTGCCATAAATAAATTTCTTACGCACTCAAACCAGTTTTGCCCTTTTCCCAGGAGGCTTTTGCAACGCTCAACATAGACCCAGCTCTCTCGTATGATGCAATTGTGATTTAGGAAAAGCAAAGACCATCATCAATACACAGTTTCATCCACCCACTCCAACAGCCCAATCTAACTGCAGCCAAGTCCCCAAACCCTGAAACTCCCACCCACAAGCTGCCAAACCCTCTGGTTGCCCTATCACTGGCAGATGCTCCAATGCTCTGTCAGTAAAAGGTTTGTGAGAAACTGAAAAGTGTACAAAATCAAACAGAATGCAACGACATTTTTACTGAATTCAGTGTTTCAGGTTTCTGGAATACTTAGTGCTTCAGAGCTGAGAGATCTGAGGATTCATAGCCCTCTGCTTCTCTCTTGGCCCATTATAAATATGCAATCATTACTTCTCTGCCCAAAACCACAAGAAATGACAGTTTGGGAAGACTGAACTTGTCATCATAAAAAGCATCCGATATATACAACTCTATAGTCTGATCACTGGGAACTTATATCTGCCATGGTCATCACATGTACATTTAAGACTATGACAAATACTCACAGGTGGAGCACAGTTCCTCTGCTGAGGGGGAAGCCATATTCCACTGTTACCACAGTTTCTAGACTGGGCTGCACACAAGATGTTGGCCTCGTGACATGGTAAGCTGAAACGTAACCACAATCACGTCATTTCTAAAGAACTCACCTTTTATTGAATCACATAGTTTATTTCAATCTAGAAAACGATTCCAATACTCTGAGTCCTTCATTTTACACATGAGAAAACTTAAGACCAGGAATTTTCAAGATTTACCCTGTCAAACAACTCAGGTAGCAAAATGTCTAAAATCCATACTTCCTCCCCCGTTCTCTGTTCCTCAACCTAATACAAACCCACCATGGCCACATGCACTTTCCCCATCAAAGTCTTGCCTCTGTGCTGTTTTTACTCGTCAATCCTGAATCCCCAAATCTGCTTCTAGGACTACCTATGCTAAACCTGATTTTTTTTTCCTAAGGTTTTTTTTTTTCTTTCTTTTTTTTTTTTTTTTTTTAATGGTCTTTTTGAGACAGGGTCTCCCCGTAGCCCCAGCTGTCCTGAAACTCGCTATGTAGACCAGGCTGGCCTTGAACTTACAGAGATCCACCTGCCTCTGCCTCCCAAGTGCTGGGATTAAAGGTGTGTGCCACCACGCCCGGCTTTTTTCTTCATTTTTAAATTACATGTGTTTATCTTGTGAATGTCGTGTGTGAGCACACAATAGTACACACGGAGGCCAGAAGACAATTTGAGGGGAGTTGGCTCTCTTCTTCCACCATGTAGATCTTGGAGATTGGAACACAGGTCATTGAAAATGGGCACCTTTATCCCCTAAGTCATCACATCGGCCCTGATTCTGATTCTACAGCTTTCACCTTCTTCCTCAGACCCTGCCTCATAAACTCCCACACAGTACCCATGACCTCAGATTTTGCACCACCCAGTCGCAGGACTTTCTAGAGCCTGAAATCTTATTGCTGCAGTAGTGGGTTTGTTTTCTGTTGTATCAGTATTGTATCTGAACTCCGTTGTGCTATGTAAAATCCAGTAGCTTAAAATAGCGCAGATTTATTATTTTGTATTTCTATAGATCAGAAATGCAACACCGATCTGCCTAGACTAAAATCAAGGTGCCAGCAGGACTGTGCTCCCCTGGAAGCTTTCCGGTGAACACATTTCCTTGTTTTTCCTAGTTTCCATAGGCCACCCACTCTTTAACTAATGATCCCTTCCTCCATCTTCAAAGTCAGTCCTGGAGCACCCAGCTGCCATCCCTCTACTTTCCCTGCCTCTCTATGCTACCTTTAAGAACCCTTGTGACTACATTGAGTCATCAGAATAGGCCATGATAGTGTCCTTGTATTAATGATCAGTGCTTTAATTCCCTTTGCCATATAAGCTAACATGCTTACAGACTCTGGGCAGAGGGTGTGGGCCTCTTCAGGAAGGTAGGGTACATTATTCTGCCTATTGCACGTATCATTTTTCAATCTTTCTTCTTCCCTTTCAGAGCCCTTCACCTTTCCTTTGCATCCCCAACCCACAAGTTCTTTTACAGAATAGATTCTGGATGAACTGAATCCAAAAATCACTACAGGGCCATCTTCTATTCCACCCACTCCCCTCAAAGATCTGAGAGGGGATTAACTAAACTACTTTTCAGCCCTTTGTCTGAATGAACATTCCAGAGTCAAGGAGGCCTGAGAAGGAAAAAGTGGGGCACAGTGTGGAAACCAGGAATCCAGAAGGACCAGCACACACAATGAGTGCAAAAGTTGACCTTGGTTGTGATCAAACACAACACAGACTTAATAGTCAATATTGTGAAAATCCATTGCACTATATAGTAACTGTATTTTGTTTAGGGGGGAAAAAAGCCTCAGCTCAAACAATAATGGAGTCATCCTTAGAGACTCTTATCAACCACTTGAAAGGTTTCCACATATTTTTAATCTATGAAAAAAAGGCTCACAGTAAATTGCAATGGTAGAACAGAGTCAACCTTCAGAGCTATCATATGGTTTCCATGAGTGTTTGCATCTTACCTAACTAAGGTATACTATCAAAATTAGGAAACTGATATTTATGCAATGTGTATGTAGAGTTCCATGCTATAATTCTTGCATTTTAAAAAGCGTAACTATTCAAATATATACGTCTACATCCACCACTCAGAATCCTACAAAATTGGCAACACAACTCTATGGAACTGACAGATTTATCTTCTACCAACAGGACTGGATCTGGTGGCTTCTACGGACCCACAGAGAACAAGAGCCTACAACAGTACTGTGAAACCAAACCACAGACTTCCCATCCCCTCCTGGGAGCCTCAGTCCTCTGGCACACCTGCTGAAATGAGGAACTGCTCCGGGAACATCTTCATGGTTCTGCCTCATATATGGGAACTGTCTTTGAAGATGCCAGGCATCTCAGAGAGCAAAGTGAGGAGAGGTAATAGAAATAAAACCTTGCCGGTGTGGTGGCGCACGCCTTTAATCCCAGCACTTGGGAGGCAGAGGCAGGCAGATCTTTGTGAGTTCAAGGCCAGCCTGGTCTACACAGTGAGTTCCAGGACAGCTGGGGTTACAAGGAGACCCTGTCTCAAGAAAGACAGAAAGAAAGAAAGAAAGAAAGAAAGAAAGAAAGAAAGAAAGAAAGAAAGAAAGAAAGAAAGAAAGAAAGAAAGAAAGAAAGAAAGAAAGAAAGAAAGAAAGAAAGAAAGAAAGAAAGAAAGAAAGAAAGAAAGAAAGAAAGAAAGAAAGAAAGAAAGAAAGAAAGAAAGAAAGAAAGACAGACCTCAGGGCCTTCACTCCATCTCCAGCAAGAACTCAAGAAACTCCCTCTAAATCAGTCCCATAGAATATCACAGAATGTTAGACTCACAAATAGGTCCTAAAAGACTCCCTAGTTTATCCCAATGCTTTTATTCACAGAGTAGGAAACTGAAACTTGAGGGCAGTTAGAGGAACAATGGCTTAATCACCAAACAAGCTAGTTTGAGTGTTCTAGGACTGGAGTCTGAATCTTCTACATGTGCCCCTCTAGCAAGTTTTCTGGTATCCACATTATCTGTTTTGAGACACATTCTTCTGAAACCTCAACATTTGAAGGCAGGTCAAATGCATAGGGTCCTGTGAAATGAACCTGAGGTCAAAGTTGATGGGGGGGGCAATAAAGAGGTTAGTGGAAGCCTGGGGAGACAGCTCAGTCATAGAGGACTTTCCTAGTATACATGAGCCTGGTTCAAACCCCAGCACTAGAAAAAAAGAGGCTTTGGAATATGCCAACAGACATAGATTATGGTGTCTTCAACTAAAGTGATGGTGATAACATTGGAAGAAAGCAAAAGTATTTGATATGTTTTTGAAAATATAATCAGAACCAGCTAAGCTCTGCCATCTCACTCATCAACTAGAAATCTCTGCATTATCCACAAAGGCCTAAACATTCAGGGGTAGCCAACCTTTTGACATTGCAATATGATGTGTCATCTACAAATGTGTTGGGTTCCAAACCCATAACTATCCTGGGACATATGCAGTCCTACAGGCCACAGGAAATCATGCCTGATTTCCAGTCAACCATGAGTAGCCTGGACAGGGCTAGACCTGAAAACTCCCTCATTTTTACCATTATTAGGATGCACCAACAGCTACTTGGTACAGGTGTTCCAATTGTCTTGACAAGTAACACCTAATGCTTTCAAATATTTATAGACTGCGCTTTCCCCTATGTACCTAGACAGCTTCCTCACTGGGCATGAGGGGAGACATCTGTAATCCCAGCACTAGGGAGACTGAGGCAGAAGAATCATGAATTTGAGTCCAAAAACAAAAACATGCTCTGTTGCAGTTTGAATCTGAAGGGTTCACTAACAGCTCTTGTTCTGAAAGCTTATTCCCTACCTGGCAGTTGGGGAGGCTGTGGAATCTTGAAGGTATGAGCCTAACTTGTAGAAGTATGTCACCAGGGGCAGGCATTTGAAGATTATAACCTAGTCCTTGATATCTCTCTCTCCCTCCCTCCCTCCCCCCCCGTTTCTCTCTGTGTATGTCAGTCTGTCTGTCTCTCGCTCTCTCTCTCTGCATCCATGATGTAGACAGCTTCTGCCACATGCAGCTACCTTACTGTAACAGCTGTTCCACCATGCCTTCTCTCCCATGATGGATGGAAACCCTCTGAAAACATGAGCCAAAATATATCTTTCCTCCCTTAAGTTGCTCCTGTTGGGTTCTATGGTCACAGCAATAGGAAAGTGACTAGCCCATGCTCCTTAGACAGCTTCCAGCCCAGAAAACTGGCACCTAAACTCCTCCAGGGCATGTCTCACTGTGCGCTGACAGTAGGCTACTGATCATCCCTGACTATGTCAACTCTCTATCCATAAGATCGATCTGCAAGGTCAAGTCCACGGGAAGGGACACAGGAAGAGCTTCCTACCTTGTGTGCCTGGAAGGACAAAGCAGCAACAGCTCTTCTGTCGGGATAACCATCAAATGAAGCCTGAAACATCTAAACATGGAATTCGTGGATCTACCCTTCTACCCAAGATCCTCCAGCTCCCTGAATGAGCTGGAATCCATCCCTGAAAGCCTCACCAGCCAGCCAGAGCAACCCAACCTTTTATCCAAATTCAATAGCACTTTCCCGACTGGCTTTCCACACTCCTCACTTTGTCCCTACACTCCTCCCAGGCTGGCAATCCAAATTCGCACTGCTACCCTGAATAACTGCTGTCCCCATGGAGCTGGTATGGTCCTCTGCACATTTCTCTTGAATGAGAGGCAGGACCATGTGAGAGCTGGCTTTGCCACATTCTCTTGAACTTAGTTTAAGTCTTCCTGTAGGAGAAAAGCTGCCTTGCCTGTTTACTGTTCAGTGGAAAGGAGAATGGGTAACTCTCACACGCTGCTGATTGAAATGCAAATTCATGCAAGAGAAATTTGAATTTGAATCCAGGAAAGTTAAGATGCACAAATTCTATAATCCTACTCTAGATTTTCTCTAGGTAAGAGAATATTCAGAGAAATTTATATGCCCACCAAAAAGAAAGATTGTTCATAACTACTTAATTTTTTTGTGTGTCTGTCTGAGTACATATGTCTACACATGTGTGCACGC